GCGCCCCCCCCCCCCCCTTGTCAGTTTTACCAGAATTTGTTTTTCTCTTTACAGTACTTTATCCCCACTAAGAATTATCTAAAAATAAATATTTTGGTAAAAGAGTGATTGTAAGCAATATTACTGTACTTACTTATTGTGTATTCTAAGCATTGGCTTTGTCTCATTTGTCTTTTAAAATTTCACGTAGTAAGTCGGTTGTCTTAAGAATCCCCTAGTTGTTTGTATTTCACTAGTGAAATGGGTATGAGGGCTATAGGATGATCACGGAAACACCGTAAGCTAGAAGACATCTGTCTTGTGAAATATAATTCTTCAAGGAAATTGTTACTTTTTAAAGTTAGACAAGTATTAAATGTGAATGATGGTTCACTGTCTTATACTCTGCTTTCCATGTAAATATGAAGCAATTTGAAGGCAGGAATCACTTTCCTTTTTATAACTTCAATATAGAGAAGATTTATAAAAGAGATTGGGACAATAATTGAACAGGACAGAACTTCAGTATAGAACAGAAGGAACCATAGTCTCTGCGGTATCAAAAAGCAGCTACCATTTCAAATTTGATTAAGGTCTTCTGCATCTGAAAGTGTGAATGATTTTTCCATCCTGCCAGTTAATGTAATAGGAGATACTTCTTTTCTTCCTCTTGCTCTTCTCTTTTACTCAAGGCCCAGTAAGAGGGGGCATAAAAGTTGTTTGATATTTTCCCTAATGAATAACAGATCCTTTTTTCCTTTTACTTTTTTCCTTCGTTGTAGGAGAAAATATTCTGGTGCAATCCTATCCCTGTCTCCTCAGGGAGCATATTTACGTGGAAGGGAAAAATACTACAAATCATAGGTGCTTTACAGGGTTGTGAGGAGTATTTGAGATAGGGTACTGGCAAGTGGTTGGTGTTTGGTTGCTTTCAACATAGGCATGGTAGGGAGCAAGGTCATCAGAAAGACAGTCTTGAATAAAGGAAATAACTATTATAAGCAAAATAATAAGCAGAAGAATAAGAGGTAAGCAAAAGCCTTCCCTGACATTGCAGTAACTGTTATGGCCTCTGACCCAGACAGCAGTGGTAATAAGGATATCTGTTGCCCAGTGGCAACTGACATGCTGTGTACTTCCTTCACTCCCTACTAGGGCATCATCGCTGAGTACAACAAAATCAATGGCATCAAGGAGGATGACGATACAGAAAAATTTAAGGAAGCCATAGTGAAATTTCACAAGCTATTTGGGATGCCGGAAGAAGAGAAATTAGTGAACTACTACTCCTGCAGTTACTGGAAGGGGAAGGTTCCCCGTCAAGGCTGGGTGTATCTCAGCATTAATCACCTTTGCTTTTACTCTTTCCTCATGGGCAGGGAAGGTAGGTTTTACAGTGGAACAGTGGTGTGTGCATCTAAGAGTTGTTACAAAATCTTCTGTAGTTTGTTACTGTTCACCTGCTGAAACACGGGGGATGCAAAGACACTGCTGAAGAAAACAGGACCAGGGAGCAATTCCGTGATTGTCATGCTGCTTAACTGTGGGCTTGCTCCCTTGTTTGTTTGTTTTGTATTTTTTAAAGTAGTTCTCATAAAACAATACCTGGGCATCATTTAGAGGCATGGTTCACTTCAGGGACCGTGTCCAGAAGGGAATAAATCACACCAGTTTTGGCTCCTTCTGCTCTTATACAATCCTTCACTACTACTCTGGCAGACTTTGCAACCTCAAATACCACATTTACTCTTGTACGACACCAGAGCATCACAAAGGGCTCAGATGAGACCCAGAATCAAGAACTACATAGTGTGGATGCAACTGGTCTGCTCTAGAGGGAGTTAATTCTAAGCAGAGTGGAGGTGAGCAAGTCTGTGGTACTTGGTTATGGGCGATGGATCAGTCCCAGGTCTTTCTATTTGGCTGTATAGACATACCCTAGTGAATGACTGGATTTTTTTTTTCTTTTTTGACAAAAATAGATGTAGAATTTAGTCCCTGTTTTAAGGACAGTATCCTAACCTGTAGTGGTGGTGGAAGAAAAGCCAAGGATCTGTCATTACTGTAATATTTGAAACTTTTTAATGTATAAAAATAACGCAAGTCTGTCTGATGTATTTAGACTACATTTCTTTGCTTCCATAGGAAAAGAGGACACTAGAGTCTGAGCAAGTGCTGTGGCAATGATAAATTACGTTAGCCCACCTGTAATGGCTTTGTAATGCTTTTGGGTGGTGCTCTGTACAGAAGTAAATTATATTTAAACTCCTTTATCTGCTGTTTGTCAGGTGATCATAGTTTGTTTGTACAAGCTGGGTCTGTTTATGCTGTCCTCCCAACTTTTGAAGATGCAAGAAAATTTCAGCTGAACACATTTTATAGGAAGAGAAAGATGAATGCTTTTGCATATGCTAATTTTTGTACTGAATCTTTTTTTTCTTTGCTTCTGTTCAGCAAAGTTAGTTATCCGCTGGGTTGATATCACTCAGCTTGAGAAGAATGCTACACTGCTCTTCCCCGATATGATCAAAGTGAGCACAAGGTCAAGTGAACATTTCTTCTCAGTATTCCTTAATATCAGTGAGACATTTAAACTAATGGAACAGCTTGCCAATATAGCTATGCGACAGCTTTTGGACAATGAAGGGTTTGAACAAGACAGGTCGTTACCTAAACTGAAAAAGAAATCCCCCAAAAAAGTATCTGCCCTAAAACGGTAGGTAGCACTGGCTCTTAGTCATTTGTTTCTCCTCAGTCCTTTCACTTGTAGTGTTTTGTCCAAAAGTTTTCTAATGTTGCTGCCATTTACTGTTACTCCAAAAGTGGCAAAAGGTGAATAATTATTTAAATATAATTACTTGGTCTCCTGTTGCAATAGGAAAAGGAAAACATTTAAATGTGAACACGTTAGAAAAATAAAAGAAACATATTGGAGCCAAATTCTCGTTTGTTCAGAAGCTCTTTAATGTATCTATCAATACTGCCTGCATTCAGTATCTGTTGTAAGGCTCTTTTATGTTACCAGGGGAAGTTAACAAAGCACTTTAAGTGTTATTAAGAAATGTGCTGAACATTCGTACTTAGTCCTGTAATTGGAGTTGAAAACTGACTCTAGATGATGAATTCTATCAAGAACTGATTTTTGGTAACAAATACAAAAAATCCTAAGGGATGAAGAGTTATCTGGAAAATATTTCTGCATCTTTTATAGATATCATACTGCAATTTTTTTTCATTTTATATGTTGATCATGTTAGTGAACCATACAGAATTGTAAACAGTGCTTGTTTATATTTCTCGTTACTTGGTGACATCTGACATGCATTGTATCACTTAGGTTTGTCTTTCTAACTATTCAGTGTGTTTCACTGAGTGCATTATCAAGACTAGGCCTTGAAATTGTTAACAGACTCTAGCCCTAAGGATTCAATCATGTTAATAAATAAACCTCAAAAAAGCATTTTTGGTGTAATATTACATAGGGTCATGTGTTATTTAATAATAAATGGGTTCACTATATATATTCTTAGAAAGTAGGGCCGAATGTGAAAAGATCACCCAGCCTGTCCCCTCTGAGAAGTCAGCATCAATGTGTCCAAGTCATTCATGGCAGAATTTTTTTTTTTTATGTAGTTTTAAAATATTCCAGCAACGGAGACTATATATCCCCTGTACGCAAACTATTTCCACTGTTTCTCTGTACACTGAGTGCTAAACTGAGTTGTATGTTGCAGGTAACTTGCAACAATCTGTATAAAGTGTATCTTAAAATGTATTATGTATTTCTTAAAACAAGAAAGGCTTTCTGTGGGTTTGTTTTTTTTTTTTTTAGGGATCTTGATGCCAGAGCAAAGAGTGAGAGATACCGTGCATTGTTTCGACTTCCCAAGGATGAGAAACTAGATGGACACACAGACTGTACTCTCTGGACTCCATTCAACAAAATGCATATTTTGGGTCAGATGTTTGTTTCTACAAACTACATTTGCTTTACTAGTAAAGAAGAGAACTTGTGCAGCCTTATTATCCCTCTTCGAGAGGTAAATATTTGCATTTGTAAATTTCTAGGGCAAATAATAAAGCAGTATCCTTTTGGAAATTGCATCCTAGCTTTGATGTTTTCTGTTTTCTTCATTGTTGGAGAAAAACCTCTTTTCATCCCTTTAGTCTATTGGAAGCATACTATTCTGTTGTGTTCTAAGTAATATTTGACAACTGTGTATATTAGTTCAAAGATCCTACTACTACTAAAATTCACAGGGAGTTTCCTCCGTCAGTTTTTACAACCCTCGTGAGTCCTTCCTCTCCCATAATTTATATTCTGATTTACAGCCCCATGGTACATTTTTGTGCTTCATAGCGAGGGACAGATGATAAAACTTCCTAGACTGATGAGTGGAATTTCTATTAAAGAATCTGTCTGATAAGATTTGCTTCTGTCAGATGTAAAAAGATTCATCATCCTAAAGATTTTAATTGTCTCTTCATGCAGACTTGCAATTATTTATTCCTCTAGGCAGAAAGTATTTGTCAGCATTTTACAAATCTGTGTGCTTCCCTTTTTAAAGCTGACTGCTTAAAGCAGATGTTAAAAATAATTAAAGTTTGATGCAATAAAAAAGTATGTTGGGGGGGTTATGATTGACTTGATTTGTGGGTTAATGGAAAAACATGTAAGTCTTGGAAGTAGTAACAATGCTGATGTAACCAAGGTCAGTTTGGCTTGACTGAAGAACCATGGAATATTTCAAGGCACTGTTTTCCCCCACAAATCATTCCGAGTAAAAACAAATGGTATTTGTTTGGAAACTTTGAAGTACAGCTTCTCCACAGTGTGTTGCAATGACTTCGGTTATTTGAGAAGAGACATTAGATTATGGTTGCGTTGTTTGTACGGAACTCCAGGGGAGCAACGGTCCTCCAGGTAAAGTGGAGGAGGAGAACAAAGTCTGCATTTAACAGGACCCCTTTTCCTGGATGCAGATTCAGCAACTGCTTTTGATAACCATAGCCACAGCAGCTTGGGATTCAAAGCAGCTCTAAAGCTTTAAGAGAAAGGAGGAGTAAGTGCTTTTGTGTCAACAGGTTAAGTCTCAGCACCAGCAAGGAGAACAGTAACACATTGGGTAGCACCAGTCCTCAGAACAATTGATCAGTACCCTTCATAATTAAAGGGAAGCTTTCTATTTAAAGCTTTGGGTCAGACCTGAACCTAACTCCAGTATTCTGTGATATCCTTGAGGTGTTTTGACAGATGAGACAATAACAAAGCATTGATTCAGAAATTATGATCGCAACAGATGATTTTTCAGTGGCTGACTGCACTGCGCACTGCACCCATTTGGTGCAGTCTCCAAGAGAAGCATTTCAGATAGGTGTGTGTCTGCTTGAATGGGAAATAGCGAATATTGGCTCTCATTATAGCAGAGCATGCTTGCTGTGATGTCTGTCCTGTGCCTCTAGAACTTGTCTGTCTTTTGTGCTGATTACACTCAGTTTTTAAGTGCAACAGAAGAATGACACAGGAACACTTCTTAGCTAATTTCAATATGCTATTAGTGAAGGTCCTTTAATTTAATGAATAACTAATAGGTTTGTAGTTAACAGAAAAATAAAAAGAAGTTGGAAGGATAGAGAAGTGATTTAGCACCTGAGCTGTGCATCGCGGTCTTTAAATACATCTTCAAAGAAAATGTGTGAAAAATGGTCATCCTATCCTTTTCGCTAGATAGATATTAACATTATAGCACTAATGTCTTACCACTGATCTCTAATTCAAAAAGGGTTAAAAAAACCCAAAAGTAAAGATCCTAGTAAACTGAAGTGTACCCTTTTCTATTCTGAAGGCAGTAAGACTGTAGGAAATTGTTTAAAATCATAAAAGCAGTGGTTAAAAGTACTTAAAATTGTTATTTGTGTTTTGTTCAGTGTCTGAACTGCACAAACTTGATTGGTTTATTTGTTTTTAAGATTAATAATTGGTGATGTTTAGAACCCATAGCTGTTACGTAACACATCCACAGTGTATGATTTATCCCTGAGATTTCTTTGTGTTAACATGCTTTACTGAAAGCTCAGGGAACTAGTGCCCTGTACTCAGTAGACTGTGGTGCGAGTACTGTTTACAGGTTGGAGTTCAGTTAGATTAGTGACCATTTCACTAACAACTGAAGGCCAAACAAAAACCTCCACCTCACAGGGGTAAATGTTTTCCTTTGTAAGAAAAGACATGGGGTTTCCCTTTGTTGCAGGTTTTTGTGTACCATGAAAATACAGTTGCAGTAGCAGTTGTTACCACAGTATACGGCTCTAACATAGTAGAACGGGAACGTTACGCCCAAAATGGCTTATTCACATATACTGGCAATAAGAAGTAAGCAAAAGTCTCTGTTGATTCAGCCTGTACTGGTGTTGGGGAGCAGGAGAGGGATTCGGAGGTCCTACAAAAAAGCTGGTAGATCTTCATCCCACAGAATCAATGTTGTGGTACTAATTCTTTTAAAATAAAGCCTGAGGAAAATAAACTGAGCAGTGCAAAGGAGTTTTGCTGAGGAACATACTGAAGCCGGTTGTTTGAGGGATGACAGTCTTCATCTTTCAGACGTGTAAGTCCTTGAATCCAAATCCTATTTTCCTGCAGAGGGATGTCCATAGTGATTCAATATGAGGAGGCAAGGGGCCTGGGTTTATTGTATTAAGATGTTTTCTTAGACCAAGCAACTTGATTAATTGAACTTCTTAAGCTGTGGCTACTGTTTCTCCCTAGGTGACAATAGTGGAAAAGGCAGACAGCTCCAGTGTGTTGCCCAGCCCGTTATCAATCAGCACAAAAAACAGAATGACATTCCTCTTTGCCAACTTGAAAGACAGAGACTTTCTTGTACAGAGGATCTCAGACTTTCTGCAACAAACCACTTCAAAAATATACTTGGAAAAAAATATTTCTGGAAGCTGTATCAGCTCAGATGATGAGGTATGTGGAGGAACATGAATCGTTTACTAAAAGAAGGGGATTTAAACAGGTGTGGGGAGAGAGAAGCCAGGAAAAACCTTGACGTTTTTGTAAAGCTAAACCTTTGTACACAGAAATGTTACCTCTTTTGTGTTAATGCCTTAAGCTGAGCAGTTAAAATGTTATGATCAGGATATATATTTTTTTCATGTTAGACTTGAGAGAAATCACCATTGCTGTGGAAGAGCTACTCTTAAGTCCTGCTGCCACATTCTGAATTTATAGTGTATCTTGTTGGAAAGTGTCATGGTTAACTAACTGGTTAATTAAATAATACTGTTTAACATCTATCGACTTGGACAAGTCAAAATGTAATTGTGGAATTTTAATAATGTGAAGAAATTATCGGTTGGTATGAAACTCTTTTTATTCAAGGCGTTAGCTACTAAATCTTATCCTTTGATTCTCCAGAAAATGATGTCAAGCTGAGCAAGTTTGCATGTGCACTGCTAGCGAACTGTGGAACATTAGAACTAACAAAAAAACCCCCTACCCTGTCCTGAACATCACATGGCCCTATTCTGAACCACCTCCCTATTTACCTATGCAAAGAAAATGTTTCCTAGAAGATGTGATTAGATAAACTTTTCTAAGGCGCTTTGAATATCAAGGGTTCTGCTGAACTCCCAGGTTTTATGTATGAAATTTAGGTGCTTCATATCACAACCTCATCAGGGCCGTTAAACTCAGCAGAGTTTAGCAGTTCAGATCTCAAAGCAGAAGAGGCTTTTGTGGTGTATCATTTTGGTTTTATGTAGGCGTCGCGTTAAAAGGGGTAAGGGAGTCTGATAAGCGGCAAAAGGAGAGCCCTCCCATTGAGTCACGAGGTTCAGAGCAGACCCCCTCGTGTTCTAAACGCTCTCTCAGAGGAGAGTCTAGGTGCGGCTGGATCTGCTCCTAGTCCCAGATTTAGTCAACGGTTTATGTCTAAAGGGTTAAGTGTGTAGCCACTTCTCAGATTCAGCTTGCCTGTCAGACCCTTCCGAGGACTTTCACTGCCACAGTTTCGCAAAGTTGAAACAACAGGTAATTTATTCAAGCAACAGGTATCACAGATTCGGGATTGCCATTGATAAATGCACTGTCTACAAAAGTTGAGCTCAAAGGGGTGGTAAGAGAGGTTCAGGCCTGTCAACCTGTCCGTCAGGTAAAGTTCTTGCTTGGCTCCTCCTCCCAAAGAGAATTTTCAAGTGCCAGTTTTTATGTTTGAAAACCTTTTGGCGAGGTGGGATGAAGTCAATTATTGTGTATCGATTGGCTCTTGGCATGGAATGTCGTGTCGTCAGAAGCGGGACTCAGCAGTGTGACACGCCTATGGAGGGGGCATCTTGGTATGCGCTTCCTATGTGCTTCCGGGGGGACCATCTGCTATTTATCCAAAGCAATCTCTGGCTGCCCGGCCTCTGCTGTGGCCCCACAGATCACTTGGTTTACAGTGATGGGCTATCCCCCCTTACTTCTGTCTGATAAGATAAGCACCAATCAGTTGCTCCCTTTGTTAACTCTTCTGCTCTTGGCACCTCAGTCTGAGCCTGTCTCTTGTCTTGCATTGACAAGTACAGCAAGGCCGTCGATTACAGTAGGTAGATTTCGCATTCCAAGTCTGTATTAAGCCATACCTTAGTACTGTGCTGAGTAGCCCTACCCTGTTTGTCATGCAAATCTTAAAAGTCCTTTTTTTAACTTGCTTGTTGATGGTGAGGTATAATTAGCATGGTGTAGTAGTTGTACTCCAGAGCACATATGCATATATGTATAAAGCTGCAGCTTTGTCTTGCCTTTTGCCCCAAATGGATCTACGTGTTCTGCCTACTGATTTATAGACACAAATTAATAATTGCAAGCATTATTATTACATTAGTAACATGACTACATATGTAGACATGCGTGACTACTAATTACAATTTCAGGCATTTGGTGTGAACTGCTATATGATAGATCTTACTGTGCTAAATTTCCAAAGCTGTTTGAGAAGTCAGAAAATCCTTTTTATTCAAGATTTTTCATTCTAATTGCAAGCTGACAGTGTTGGATTTTTTATAGAACACACTTTTTAAGTGAGGGGAACAAAATAATTTACTTTGTGTATGTCTGTATAAACATATATACAGATAGAAAGGTGTGTGTATATGTGTACACACACATAAACACATGTTATATATAAATCTCACATGCTGGACAGTCAAGGAGTCAACAGTCCTGTGATGTTGACAGGAGATCAAAGGAGCTGATTAATTGTCCAGGGCTACTTAATGTTAACACTACCTTAGCTATTCTAATTATAGGATTTGATTACTTTTCAGAAGGGGGGTTGGGGGAGGAGTTGTTGAGAAACTGGAAACTATTTCATTGTTCTATACTGCTTTAATTTCTGCTGTCATATGATCAGCCTGTGAATGTACCTGGGTGATTTAATTTGCCCTTGTTTTGTTAGCTGTTAGCATGTATAAATTTTGAAGTAAAATGAAGTAAAAAGTCCAGACTCTGGCACAGCCTCATGTCTGTATTGCTTGTGGCTGCTTTCTACAGGTGTTTACAAGATCAAGTAGTTTAATTTCTGCCAGCCCTCATAAAAGCCTCAGCTCTGAGTCGGAGGGAGAGCGACAGTTCAACCTCAACGACAATGGCGTTCCAACAGCAACTCAAGCTTTAATGACTATGTATCGGCGGAGATCACCTGAGGAGTTCAACCCAAAGCTGGTAAAATACACCTTGGAGTGCTGTACCTGACTGAAAAAGTTGTTAAATTATGTTTTCTTTAAAATCCGTATTTCTGACCCAGAAGAGTTTCATTCTGCCACAGACGGTTAAGAGGCAGTATTTTTCACCAAAATAAAGCATTGAACGTGCTGTCATTTTACTAATACAAACAACTTCACTATGTAAAAAAGCACAGTTGGATGTAAATCAAGGAGAGGTTGTATGCCTGCTCTTAAGAACAACTACTTCAACAATATGCTTTTAACAGCAAGCTCTACTGGGATAGAAACTAAGAAATGGGAGGAGGCAGCCCATTAAGAAGAGAATTGGACTGTAGCCAAGTTATTTCTCGCTCACTTGGAAAGTTGGACGTTGCAGGCTTTTTAGCACTTAGCATTTCAGTGGGGCTGAGTGTTAGAAAGAGAAGCTGCATCTTTATGCCTGCGTTTCTTTGCTTTTAGGCTAAAGAGTTTCTGAAGGAACAGGCCTGGAAGATTCACTTTGCTGAATATGGCCAAGGAGTCTGTATGTATCGTACAGAGAAAACCAGAGACCTTGTGCTGAAAGGCATTCCAGAAGGCATGAGAGGGGAACTTTGGCTACTATTTTCAGGTAGGTATTTATACATTTGAACATGACTATGGGATATAAGCCAAAGCATGAGGGAAGAAAGGATTTCAAAGATGTTTAAAGGTGCAGATAATAAGCGTCTAAAAATGCTTGGAGCAAGTAAGGCTGTAACTGTTAGCAGGCACCAGATTGGTTTAGACAGGAGTTCTGTTTAGACCAGTAAATACCCTTTCTCAAACAGGCTCAAATAATTAGAGAAGAATATGAAAAGCAGAATGCACACTCTGCTACCAGAAGCCAGCAGTCTAGGGGCTTCTAGATGTTCAGCAACCACCAGCAGGCCTACTTGCCATTTGTTTAATCATTTCTGAATCCAGTTAAGCTTTTGGCCTTCACAGCAAGTTGTTGCAAGGAATTCCAAAGTTTAAGCATGTTGCATAGAACCACTATCTTATTTCTCTTTTTTTAATAATTTTAAAAAAAGTTACTTCATCATTTTATTAGGTGTCCCCGATATGTGAAAAATGGTGAGAAAATATTTCTATCTATCTTCTGTGCCATCAAGGATTCTCTAGATCTGTGTCCCCTTAGGCTTTTTTCCAGTGTTGAAGAATTACATTCATTTTATTACTAGTTATATGGAAATCCGTCCATACCTCAGGCTATTTTTATAACCTGTCACTTACTGTATGCCTTCTCTAGCTCTGCCCCACCCAGAGACAGTTACTTCAGCTACCCACACCATTTAGATATGAACACACCAGGGGCTTTATATGATGACCTAATGATGCTTTCTGGTTTGTTTTCTGTTTCTTCCCTAATAATGCTTAATCTTGTACATCTTCTCTTTTCAGCTGGGCATTATACAAATGTTTTCAGAAAATATACACAGGAATGCACAGATCTGTCTTGTGTCTGATTAATAGCTAGTTGGGACCAATTTTCATGGTGTATGTATAATTAGTATTTTCCATGTGAATTACTTTGTGCTACTGATACTTGATTTCCTTTGCTGCTGAGATTTTCATTTCCAGAGAAGTTTGAAAAGTCAGCAGTGAAATCTCATAGCAGCTCTGTGAGCATGCACTAGTATCCCTAAAACAGGCGAAGTGCCCTGCCCAAGATGACAGTCATTTTTCAGAAGCAGGAATAGAGCTCAGGAGTTCCTGTCTCTTGCTTTTGGCTGAGATATCATCATTTCTGCAACCAAGCATTAATCTACTCCCTCCTCAGGGCAACTAGGTTTCTCAAAGGCATATTTTGAGTTATTTAGGAAAATCAAACCCACAGCCAGCTCCAGAGAGAGCTCATGATACCATGTGAGTGCACAGCTGGTTTGTTCTTCATGCCTCCTGTTTCGTTCTGGCTGAGAGAAGCTTTATCTTTTTTTCCATCTTTAACCTCGTTATAAAATGCCTCTGGAGGAGAAGACAAGAAGGGGTGATGCGTCAATCACCTAAGCATATCCCTTTTTTTTAATCATCTTTACAAAAATAACATTTCATATTTGCTTTCAAAGTGCTTATTGGTGAACTTCAAGATGAAAGAGTAGCAGGTCATCGTGTTAGGATACTGTATCTGCTAACTCTTGCTTTTTTCCTTCTGGTTTTAATACTGTTCTCCCACTTCCAGGAGCCATTAATGAAATGGCCACTCATCCTGGCTATTATGAGGACCTAGTGGAGAAATCGATGGGGAAGTATAATCTTGCTACAGAAGAGATAGAGAGGGATCTGCACCGCTCCCTTCCGGAACACCCTGCATTCCAGAATGAGATGGGTATTGCTGCTCTAAGGAGAGTCTTGACAGCTTATGCTTTTAGAAATCCAAACATAGGATATTGTCAGGTAATTGAAATACCTTGGCACTCCTTCAGTTTCTGGAATTCCAGTTCTTTCCTTATACTCCTATTTCTTCAGTCATGTACACCAGTATTTGGCTGTGTAAAGTACACCAATACGTGTATAATGCTGTGAAGTAAAGCCTCAGTGCTGCAGAATTGCAGTAATGCTGAGGTCAGAGGGATCTGACACAAGGACCTACTCTAACAGAAGTATTAGCAGTGCGTGCTGAGAGATGTGCGTAGTGTTCTGTAAGCATATTTTCTGCCTATAGATCTAGAGACTGGACAGAGGATAACAACAGAGGTGTCCTGAAGTGCATCTACAGAAAATGACAAATGGACCTTGAAGAAAGGTTTCTCGTTTTTAAGCAGGGAAAAAAACACCAAACTTTAATTGTTCAGCCTTAAATTTTTACCTGCTTATTCGATGCATTAGTTGTAGTAGCCCTCCAGAACCTCCTTTCCTTTTTTCAATGCTGCCATTCGATTGTTCACAACAAAACTTAAAAAAACAAACAAAGAAACAAACAAAAAAACCCAACACAAAAAATAAAGCACGCTAGAAGATATCAGTGTGCATAACAACCGTGTATCAGTAGAGTTAATGCTGACCAGTGCGTGGTTTTGGAGTTCTTATGCCTGTGATTCAGGTCACTTTAGTTTCTGGTCCCAAATCATTCTTTATTGCTACATAACTTAGATTTACCACCTAGCTCCTTTTTTTTGCCTTCCTACATATTTTTTGAAAAAAGGAAACTTGAATTCATGAGTATTAAGAAGTCTGACTAATGTCTGACTGTTAAGACTCCTAGATACAACATGAGTAAGTAAAAAGTGCAAGCAATCCTAACAGATAACGTCATAAATTATTTACTAACAAATCTAATACTAAGTAGTAGCTACAATGACTTTTCATAAAGGTTGTTTAACAGAGGAACAGTAGAAAGACACTGTCATTCTGGTTCCTAAAGCTGTCACAATAATTGTTAATAGCCTTGGGACTTGGTCCATGGCATTCAGAGTGTTAATTCACTGTTACAGTGAGAATTCAGGCACTGAAGTATTTCATACATGGTAGATGAGATAAAAAGGAATAGTCAGAGTTGTAATGTTCTGAGTTTCAGTTGAAACCTTAGTTGCTGTTTTTAACAGGTAACGATCAAGCTGGAGTCTTAAAATGTTACAGGATCTGAAATGAGCAGCTAATTCCTTAGGAGGCAAACTGAGAAGAAAATGGTAGCGTGATACTTCATTTCTTCAGACTGGCGTAGGTCTAGTCAAAGGCTGTAAGCAAACAATTCAGAGGTCATTGTACAATGCTGTGACATTTGAAATGGAGTGAAACAGGCCATAAAAAACTATCGTGTACATAGTCAAACATGGAGAGTGAGCAACAGCAAGAGGCTTTTGTTTCACTATGCTCTGGTTGTTCATGACTGACATTCTTACAGGCATTTGTCTCAGCTGGCAGATGCTGTGCCTTGACCTTTTCATAGGAGCAGAAAGCATGGGGAGTGCAGACTGCCTCTGCAAGGAGTGGTACAGCAACAGTCGTCATTAGTGCTGTAGGAAGCATTTAGTCTGCATCAGACCCAGATTCCCCAAGAGCAACTATTGGCAGAATGTCAGTAGCGGTGTAACTGCATGCTTGCAGACCTGAGTAGGCCCTTGATTATGAAAAGAAATCTTGATTATTTTTTTTTTTAAGTAACAATTTTTTGTGGGTTTTTGAGGCTTTCTTAAGCCTTTGTTTGAGCACTGGGAAAACACTGCCTGCTGTTTTTACAGGAAAGTACTTGAAAAGTTTGGGGTCTGTAGGGGGAGAGGTAGCTAATTTCCTAACCATAGTAACCACTTATCTGCCCAGTTACTGTGCCAGATATTGAATAAGTGGATCTAGCAATTTATATTTCTCTTTCTTTTAGGCTATGAATATTGTCACTTCAGTACTCCTCCTTTATGCAAAAGAGGAGGAAGCTTTCTGGCTGCTGGTGGCTCTGTGTGAACGTATGCTACCTGACTACTACAATACAAGAGTTGTTGGTATGTTACAGGGAATTTTTCTAATATGACAGTACAAAAATTAACCAAATTAATTGGCATTATTTGTATTGAAACAAGCATATGTGTAGATGTGTGGCATTGGTACAACTGTGTGGCAAGACAGCTTGCTCAGGAGCATAGAAGCAATTCCCTAAACAGATTCTGTGATGGTTAATAGTTTTTCACTTACTTATGATTAGATGGCATTCTAAAGTGGGCTTAAACAAAGTAAATAAAAAAGAGATGGGAGGCTAAAATATGAATTTTAGATGATCCAGTTATCTAATTAAGGTGAGGTGGAAACAACAGCTTTGGCAATTTGCAGCAGAAGTCTTTGTGCCTGTTTACCTCTGATTTGAAAGGCCACAAGTGTCTGACAGCTATTGTTGTCAGATGACAGTTCCCCTGCATATGTGGAAGTGAATGGCTCTTCAGTTTATCATGGAAACTGTCTACTGTAGCTGACAAATGCTTGAGATACTCATTCAGCCTTAGAAATTATTCTTCCTGCCCTGCTTAAAACACTGATGCTCTGGCACGGATATGCGTAACACAGGGTTCTCTTGAAATAAACCCAAACCCTCACAGACAGTCACCCTGCCCTTCTCCAACAGGTGATGCTGAGAAGTCTTATTCTAATTAGTAATGGTAAGTACTAAGCCATCATATAACTTCTGTAGGTGCTGGACCAAATTGGCCCTTCGTTGGCTTTTATGAAGTGTATAATTAAAACAAAAAAAAAAACTTATTACAGTTCAATTTGTATGTACAGCTTGTATTGGAATAGATTCTGTTATTTGTCTGAATGAGAAAATGTGTGTAAGCATCATGCAGAACATTCTTAGGCTTTGTATTTATATATATAGAATATGCGTATATATATTTTTCTCCCCTAAATGGTGATGTGGTCAGTTGCTCCCTAATTAATGGACATCCAACCTTATTTATTTTCAACAGGAGCATTGGTGGATCAGGGTGTCTTTGAAGAGTTGGCTCGTGACTATGTTCCACAGCTTTATGACTGCATGCAGGACTTGGGTGTAATATCCACCATTTCTCTGTCCTGGTTCCTCACTCTTTTCCTCAGTGTGATGCCATTTGAAAGTGCAGTGGTGGTTGTGGATTGTTTCTTCTGTGAAGGAATAAAGGTGATATTTCAATTAGCGCTCGCTGTCCTCGATGCTAATGTAGACAAGCTGCTTAACTGTAAAGATGATGGAGAAGCCATGACAGTCTTGGGAAGGTACTTATTACAGAAAACAAAGTCTCTTCATTTTATTTTTCTTTTTGCTTACTTCTCTGATTTGTGTTGTTCTTTGTTGAAATACTCAATTTAAGCCAGTACAATGTATGTAAATATTTTACACGCTTATAGTCTCCTTTCACCACATAAGGTACTCTTTATATTATCTTAAAATAATGTTAAGTGACCAACAAGATATAAATTCTTCTTTCAAGACAGTCACATAAACTTCCCAAACCTGGTTATAGAAGCTTATTTTGGTTAATTATTTTAGTTGATTACATGGGTTTTGTTGCTTCGTCTTTTGCCTGCTACCTTTTAAATGCTGCTAAGAAAATGCCTTGATCTCGAGGGGAATTGTTTGGGGAATGGACTAAACAGAACTGGGAAGAATTAGGTAGGCTCTTGAATGAATAGATTTCAGTGAAACAGGAGACTGAGAAATGATTGAGTCACTGAATGCAAACTAATACTGCTGAGTGTAACTTCTGTTTTCCTTGTGTTTGGTAGTAGTGTTTAGTTTTCAAGATGCTGCTGAAACTTTGGAATTTTTTTTTCCTATTAAGTTTCATTAGTATAGCTTTACTGAAGTCTGGTTTTAATTTCATAGGGAGTAAAGGCTGTGGTTGTGTTTTCTCTGAAATAAGCCCCAGCGCTTGCTGAGGATTAAGTGTTCTGCATCTGCAGGGTAGCAAACAGATGATCTACAGCATCTGCACCACTGGGGGGAACAAGCCCTTAAAGCCCCTTGCAGTGAGTTTGGGCAGTAGTAGGACAGGGGGATGTGTAGACTGAAGCACACTGACCCTTGTTCCCATGGTGTCATACTTCCTTTGGCTTATTTAAACAGCCAGAGGCCACAAACCTGTTCAAGAAGCTGCTCGTTTGTGACTTGCTATATTTGAGCTGTTTCTTGATAACGATAATGAATTACCAGTGTTACCTTAGCTCTCTTTGAGAAAAGGCAGTGTTAGGCTTTGTCCAGTTACTGATGCCAAAATGCACTTCTACACATGTAGTTCATTAGTAGAGTGGCTTGATCATTTTTACATTTAATAATCTATATGTAACCCTTATTCTATTAATCCTCAGAAGGGAGGGGGGGTGCAAATGAATCTTGGTTTCTTGTTTCTTTTTTTTTCCCCACCAGATACTTGGACAGCGTGACTAATAAGGACAGCACTCTTCCACCCATTCCTCATCTTCACTCGCTGCTCAGTGATGATGTAGAGCCTTATCCTGAGGTGGATATCTTCAGACTAATCAGGTCTTCCTATGAGGTAGGATAGGATTTCTTAACAGGAACTTGCCAACCCACACTAGTTCTGCTGTACGGAGGAATTTGATGCTCTATAGTTTGGCTTTGCTTGGAACTGAAAGAACAGGCTCGTCTCAGAAGTTTGAAATGAGGCAGAGGAGGAGGGGTTAGTCTGTCTGTCTCTTTTAACCAAAACTTTTAATTGGAGCTGTTTTGTATAGAATCCTGCACATCAAAGGAGAGCAGCCCACAAGAACAGTGATTTACAAAGAAAATGCTGAACTTGTAATTCAAAAAAGTTTAATTCTCATCTAAGCTTCTTAATGCTTTTCCAAACTGAAATATTAGTGAAATCTATATGATTTCAGAAGACCTTTTTATTATCAGTGGACCTTTGTTTCTTTTACCTTTTTTTTTTTTTCTTCAGCAAGTGCTGATTATGACCATGGGTCACTAGCTTATGTATCATCACCAAAGCTAAAAAAAATTCAGGTGAAAGGAGCTAGGAGTAACTAAATCTGTAAAGGACAGGGCAAAGCCTGCAGAAAACCTAAAATTTGCAAACCAGTTTCATTGCCCTTAAATTTTAAAAATAAGCCATCTGTTAAAATATCCCTGACGATTACACTGACATATTAATTTTTTACAGAAAATAAAGAATAACTTTAAAGAATTATTCGGCTTAATTTCCTTTTTTCCTTTCGTTGACATGCAGGGTAAATTAGTATTTTTAGTTCAGGATGTAGGTTCTTGCTTAGCAATATGATAGCTGTTTCAGAGGCGCCTTCTATGTCCCTAAAACCTTCTTGCTTTAATAACATGATATTTATTTAACAAGGAAGTAGGTAGTCCCGAGTGTATTCTATGCTGAAGGGCAAACTGAATCAAGTTGGATGTATTGTTCTCCTTCACACCACGTTAGAATGGGGAGAAGGACGTTTATGTGGAATTCTGTTTCCCGTGTATTTTTCCGATTTATTTATCATAAAGACAGCTTGCATTGGCTACACTGCTTTTAGATGAATAACCTGACTCCATGCAGAGCCAGTCTGTCTTTTTGGGCCATATGCAGCACAGAACCTAGTAGCTCCTGCTCGATAAATACCCAGCTGTACTCCAGTGTAATTAAGCAAAATAAATAGCATGGGGAGTGAAGAACTGTGAGGAAAGCAGGAGCTGGTTGCGAAGAGAGAATTAGTTTCAGGACAGTTGTTGTTGGTTGATTTGATTATTAACAAAAACCCAATTCCATAGTAAACTGTCAAGATAAAAAACCTTCAAGGCATCTGTTATTCAGTGACTGTTACATTCCTTGATTAGTTGCGTGCAGTCAGGGCTGGGAACTCACTGTTGTTTAGTTGCAGCTACAAAGAGCAAAATATTAAGCAAGTGAGTATATCTTTGCTATTTTTAGAATTTAAGCTGTTAAAGGTACTTGTTTGATCATCATCTATCCTTAATCTTCTAGACATCTATTTTTTACACAAAAAATAGGAAGACCTATGGCTGAAAAAAATGGTTTTTCTTGGAGTCCTTTGCTCTCCTTCGAACACACACAAACCACCCCCAAGGGGGGAAAAACCTTATCGCTTGCAGAGTGTCCTATGATATTTGTCATGGGAATGTGAGGAGTCTGAGAACTTGGTTGAGGCATAGCACTGGCAAAAGCACAATATTTGGATTGTTTTCTGAAGAGCTACTTCCCATTGTGCTCTGATCCTGTCCAGCTTTTAGGTAATCATGTCAGATGCATGTATGAGAAGTGTCCAGTGAAAGCTGAAGTGATGCAGAGGAATTTTTTGGTAATTAAACAATTAGCACCCTTCTCTGATGTTATTGAAATGACTTTCTACTTTTAAAAGAGAAACATTCTTGAAAGAAGAGAATATACATAGCAAGTACATTTTACCCTGCCAGTAATTTTTTCATTTACTCAAAATACTTTTTAGTAAGAAATCTCTTTCCTTTTCATTCAATTTTGCAATTAATTCAGAAGCCGTAGATCCTGGTGTTATAATAATTACAATAGAAGTGGCTGAAATAATGCATAATCACTACAGCTTTAAAAGCCTGTACATAGCTCACTGGCTGTCAGTGGAGTGTAGACTCAGATATTCAGAGCTGTTATGTGCTTAATTCCTTTGATTTGTGTGTTAGTTCATTTGGAAAAAAAAATAGGCCTTAAACACTTAAGCTACATCTATAGTAGTATCTGGATCTTCACCATTTTAACTAAACAACTGACACTCGAAGGTCTATGCTGTTGTGAGGTTTGATACAGTTTTGACCTAGAACAAGTGACATGCTTCCAGCAATTCCTTGTACAATTTGAAAGTTAACGTGGGCAAAGGACCATTCCCAGAAGGTAGATGCATGCAGCCTTCCTTTTCTGTAGGCTACATGAGTTTCAGTTGTATGGATGTGATCTCGTTTGGCCTGTGGACCAGAGAAAAAGCCCTGATTACTGGAATAGATATGGCCTCAGAGCCACAAAAGACCTCTCTTTTCAAGGTTTTTTGTCCTCTGTGATGCATGATATTCATGGAAGTTTATCTAGATTTGATTTTTCAAAAGACTTCTTTATTTGCAAGATGGTCCAAGTACATGAAACTTTTTTACCCCTGAGGTACATCATAAAGGTGCAAATAAATGCAGCTTTACCATTAATTTTATCACACAAGAATGTGCTAGCAAATTGTGACCTGCTTATGTAGGTGCACTTGCACTGGAAATATAAATCCATCCTGTATGAAAGCATATCTTGCCCCACCCCCTTTTAGTTTTACATGTGGCATACTTGATGTCTGGCATTAGTGTTCCTGCTGGTCATCTGTGCGTTTCTAAGTATGTTATAAGTGTTTTCTTGATGGCAAAAAACTTCTACTTACAATTCACAAAAATAAATCTTAGTGATTAGGTGTTCTTCTACATACAAAAACTTCTGTAATATATGCAGGAGGTTCCTAAGATTGTTACATGCATTGTGAGAAAAACTTCTGAAAGTAAGACTTGGGCATTTTAGAGAATCTTCTTCCTAATGGAAGTTGCATTCTTGATGCTTGGTTTCAGATCCTCATGAATGTAGGAACTGCTATACTGTCTCAACCGTTAGAGATCCAGTGAGTCTAAATATCTTCTCTCTCTGTAGCAATTAAAAGATATTCCAGGACAAGCTGAAATAACACCCTGCAGAAGGAGTTGTGAAACAATCTATTCATAGAGATTTGCCAAACAAGAAATTTCTAACTACTGAGATTATGGTTTGAAATCTGAGGATTTGTAACTTAATAAAGACCTTTCAGAATAAATTAAAACAAGTTACTGGGAAATATGAAATCTAGTAATATATTCCTGAAGTCTTCATAACTTTGTCATGTGTTAGAAAGATGCCTTAACAGCAGTTTTTTAAACATATAATTTGTTGTATATCACTTAATTAAATGAATTTCTCAAATACATTAAAGGAAAGCTAAGTATTCCAAATATTAGTACAGAGATTCTCTCGTACTTCTTTTTCTCTTTTAAGAAATTTGGAAGTATCCGAGCAGATTTAATTGAACAAATGAGATTCAAACAAAGGCTGAAAGTTATCCAAACCCTTGAAGATACTACAAAGCGCAATGTGGTAAGTACTGAAATAATATTCTTTGCAAAGATTAAGGTCAAGCAGTTTCTGAAATGTAAATTAGCTTTTCAGTGAGACATGGATTTCAGATTCATAACTGTTAATGTTATGTTTCAAAAGGTACGAACTATTGTGACAGAAACTTCTTTTACTATCGATGAACTGGAGGAACTTTACGCTCTTTTCAAGGTATAGTTAAATGAAGATAAGATCATGTGCCTGCATGAAATGTGAATGTTATTTTTGATATGGGACTGTGTCTTTTCTAAAGACCAGGTTGAATCTGAGTTAGCATCTGTTATCGTAATACAAACTTGTGTTAGCTGCTGTGTTACTGAACATACAAAAAAACCCAACCAGTTTTTAAAAGCTTGGGAAATAAGTAATTTGCTAAAGGATTTGTCCATGTAAAATGAATATACTGATGAAAACTATTATAATGAAAAGGTGAATAGATGAGGATTTTGATCAGGTCTTCAGAAACTTATATATGTCTCTCTCTACCTGACCCAAGTTTTGGAATTTAGCACAGAAATACCTTTATTATTTCAGACAGTTAATACTTTCATATCGCAATAGCTGATTTTTGCCATTGTTAATGCTTTAATGTATACTGCGTTACATGGAAATTTAGTGTCACAAAGTGATGTGTCTTTGTAAGTTGATGGTACAGCTGTACTGTTAGATCCACAAATTTAAAGGTGACCAGTGAAAATGCTTTAGCTTCACATTCTTACACAGTGCCTTAAAACAAGAGACTTTCTTCCTCTGTTTTGCCATAACAGATTTTTGGGTTTTTTTGTATACCATAAAGAATTTCTTTCCTTTCAATTTTCCATCTGTAATGTCAGGTCTTACGGTTGTCCAAATCCTGCAGTGCCTTCTTTCAGTCTTCCATGGGCTCAGTGAGACTAAGTCAGGCAGTCTACCCTGGTTGATCCTATGCAGAGCTAGGATCAGTTTTTCTGAGCTTCTGAATCATTTTGAATTAGATTCCACTGGCATCAGCTTCAGAACTTTCACTGACTTCAGTAAGACTGAAAGAGTAGGACTTTATCCAGTCTTTTTGAGACTATACAGTTCAACAAAAAATATTTCAAATAAACAGCTGTTTTCATGTGCTCTGAACATAAAGATTTTATGAGAGTTCTCTTTCTTGCTTGACTGTGTGGTGAGTTTGAAGGGGGTGACTAAGCACAACAAGCCTGTGTATATCCGCAAGTCACAGCTGCTTAGCTCTCTTCAAAGCAGGTATTTCATGTTTCGTCTGCCCAGGAGGCAGAAAAAGTTTTGCTTTATCTTCTTTTTTTGTAGAGTGATGTCTTTCTGTGCTGGTTAGAGGAGAAACCTCTTACAAAAGTGCAAGGGCTAGGTAGATGGAAATACATCTGCTAGTCTTCTGTTGTTTAAAGAATGTGCGTGTATGAATTGTTTGTATTTTTTTTTAATCATTGATGGCAAGGAGTTGTTTACAGAGGTGATGACAATCTCACAGCATTTGCCTTCTGTTCAGGCCGAACATCTGACTAGCTGCTACTGGGGAGGAAACAGCAATGCTATTGACCGGCATGACCCCAGCCTGCCTTATCTGGAGCAGTACCGAATTGACTTTGAGCAGTTCAAGGGGATGTTCTCTCTCCTCTTCCCTTGGGCATGTGGAACTCATTCAGATGTGTTAGCTGCGCGCTTATTCAGGCTTCTTGATGAAAATGGAGACTTGCTCATCAACTTCCGTGAATTTGTCTCTGGGCTAAGTAAGGAGAATTCACAGCACTCTCAAAATAATCTGACCAAAACAGTTTCTTTCTAAAGGGAATCCAGTCCTTCAGAAACACAGATATTATATTAACTATCAGATAATGAGTTTGACGTATGCCATTTTGCAGAAGTCACCTTTGTTATAAGAGCCATTCAGTTCATTTTATGATGCCTGTGACAGTGGCTCCCACTGGGGTTTAGGCTGGTCTCAGCAGGTGCATCTACATCAGCCAGTGGTGTATCACGCTGGGAGGAGGAACACACATGAACTACACATTCATTGGGGTCTCAGGATTTTCCTGACCACTAACTCTCAACACAAAAATGACCTACAACTTGTGTGCTTAATGGTGTGGTTACTTCTAATCAAAGTGTTTCCTTTGGGAAAGTCTTTTGTATGTTCTGTAGTGTTCCTCTCTCAGTGATACTACATTTTGTTATCTGCTCTTTAAGCTTTCCCTGAAAGTTGGGAATTTATACCTTCTGTCAGTGCTACCAGCTCTGGAAAGGGGAGAGAGGCAGCATTTGCTCCCTTGGTTGTTCAGGAAGATGACTTTTGAGAAACTTATGTGCATGTATAAGAAGCAAAGGAAGGATAGAGTAAGGATGCTAGTTTTGTTTGCCCCTGAATAAAAGTGCTTCTCTTTACAAGTCTGCTGACACCCCACATACCTTCCCCTCACACAGGGACACGTGTATCACACCTCACAGTATATGCACTGAGAGGTACTACCTATATTGCTTCTGAAACCAGTAACCAAGACTGTGGGGTAAGACAGAGAGCAGGGTGGAAGTCACCTGAAAAAGAGAAAGTGGAGGTGCAGGTCAGTCAGAGAGGCTGAATGTCGTTAATGGAGATTACGGCCCATGCAAGTGTTGAAGAAGCAAGATTTCAAGACATGATAGTCAATATCGTCACAACAAAGGGAATGTCCAAGCCCCAGGATTAAAATGAAGAAGCAAAGATGAGGCAGGAGCTGGCCACCCCTTTTTTGAAGATAGCAGGAATTATTCCCTGTAAGTGACCAAAATCTCACTGTCTGTCGTGTTATTTCATGGCAACTTGACGTTTCCTCTAGCTTTACATTTTGATCCTTTTTGAGAGAGAAAAGGTTTCCCAATCTGACTTTCAGCAACTCTTTATAACTATTTTTAAGCATGAGGGCTCCAAATGCAGCCTTGCATTAAAACCTCTGTACAGCAAAGGTAATACCTGTTCTCTTGCAGGTGCAAAATAGCTGTGTGGCAGTAAAACCGATTGCACACCTTCCCTTCACACTACCCAAAAAAACAGTGTTTCCTACAATGCAGTTCTGAATTGTATTTGAGGGACTGTTTGCTGGGTAACTCTTAATGGCCTTTTGAGACATGACCCATGGATTAACTACTCTTGCTGCTTACAGGATGCTGTTAATAACAGACAACCAGTTATTGGTTGAGACAGCATTTTTTAGAACCAATAATGAGTAATAAGAACACGGAACAGTGCTAAGCACTGTGAACAGAAATGAATGTAAAATGCACAAATGTGGCTGTAAAGCAACATGACTGAACAAAAATTTTCAATGGGCTAAACAATCAAAACTGGGCATTCTGCAAATCAGCTTTTTTTCAGAAACTAAACCCTATGTGGCGTAGATTGAAAAGCTCTTTAAAAAAAAAGTCAACCCCCCTTTACCCCTTTTTTGTTTAAGAAGCACATGAATGTTAGCAAGGACAACACAGTCAGCAAAACAACGTGAGATTTGTTTAAGCATATTTTGTCATGACCCAAGACTTTTAAAAATTCCACAAACGTCAGCTGCTTCAGTCTGCCTTGCCAACCCAATATGCTTTGGTTGGGAAGATCTCCTAAATGAGGAGTATCTTCTGTTGGAGCAAGACACATCTGCTCAGCTGGGGACTGTGTCACCTTTTCTTTGTGTCTGTTCCAGAAAGCATTGTCAGAGGATGGGCATTCTGGAGATGACCTGTGGGCACCATCCTCTCTTTTCTTACTGCGTCCAAACAGCAGTATTGGACTCTGGCCCTGTTTACGCAAGTCCGACTTTCCTTAAGCAAGCGTCCTATTCGAGTACTTCCTAGGCATGGCCCATCTCAGAGGATGCTTGCTGACGGCTGAAGCAGCCATGACACCTGAAACATTTCCCTTTCACAACTCTTTTTCAGTGGCCTCACTGCATGTAGCCATAAGGGTATGTTCCTTTGAAGCCTCTCTTTGATGCCACTGACTCCTAGGAGCTCCATGAAGAGGAGATGATAAAGGGTGCCATGTGTCCCAGCAGGGGCTCATGGCCATTTCTTCTGTGTCAGCCTGAAATCCTTGGGGATTGAGCATGCTGTAATCTGAACTGGAAATCTCCATTTCCTTTTCGTAGCCCCTGCAGCAAATACCTCAAGAACCTCCTACTTCAGGTGCTGTCTAGGGCCTCAACTGAGCAAAGACGGAGCAACCTGACGTATTCTTCTGTACACTTACCCTGTGTCATGTTACTGCAAGTTCAAATAAAGAAGTGATCTTGATTAGTTTTCTCTAGGAGTTGTGCTGCTCAGGAAGGGTTGTCAGCCTTGCTTTTGAGCTATTTGGGGTATTCACTTGTGAAGAAGCTCACCTGCACCCTCATACCACACTGGATTACAGCATGTCAGCTCTTGACTCAGGATCCCAGTACGCTAGAGCAATTTGCATATAGACTCAAAGTGGCCCCCTGCCTCCCATCATGTTTTTGCAGTACTCCCTTCTCAGAACACGCACCTCTTCGACCTCTCCAGTGACTGCTGATGTCTGCAACACTCGCCACAGCTGCTTGCAAAAGTTGGCACTATGAAAACTGTGTCTCTCAAGGAGTACCTCAGTGTATTTTTTTTTTCCCCCTGAAAACAGCTTTTCTACAAGCACAGGTTGCAGGAGGATGTTCAGAAAGCAGAATGTTAACCTCACCACTCCTCCTATCCTTTCAGGTGTCCTCCGCACACCTCCACCTACGTTCAGTAGCAGGGCAACTGAAGCCAATGCTTTTATGTTCCTACTAAGTTTTATATTAACAGAATAAAGTTATGACCTGTTTAATGACTTTGTTAATGGCCTGGAAGATGGGGAAAACTGTGCACATATGATATTATGCCCAGAAAAGGTGCACCCATACAAAGGTCTCCCCTAACTCTCCATAATAGGGGCACATCTACCAGAGGTGGGTTCCTCTTCTGTTGTCTTCATGAATGTAGCCTAATTTTTTTTTTTTTATTGATACAGCATCAGTCCTCTGATCTTGGCTAGCTCACTGCAGCTAACTGTCAGGCAGTTCCTGCAAATTGCCAGTAGGCTGCTCTTCCCTTTGTAAAACTTTCTGACCTCTCCCTGGGGAGATTAGTAGGATTGTGTCTGAGAGAGTCCAGATAACATCTTTGGTAGAGTTGTCCCACATTGTGGTGTCTTCATTTGTGTACATTTTGAGGGGAAAAAGGGCCTGACATTAGGAAGCACACACAGATTCATCTCGGGCAAAAAGCAGCTGTTGAGCTTTTTCAGTTCTCTTCACAACTGAGGATGGAGAGGAACAACCCTGCATGTGTCACCAGATACCCTGTGCCCTGAATCCTATTTTGGTGAATGCATCCCTAGCCATTGCTGGAGGTTGCAGGACTGCAGCCCCTTCTGTCCTTTGGTTATTTCATGTCGCCTTTAGCAGTGGGGCACTTCACATGGTACCTGGGTGCATAACCTAAGGCATAGTTTTGCCAGAAGATAAAGTAGTATCTGCACGATGTAGTACACCAGATAGGAACATAAGGAAGTTTTGTGCTTAAAAAGGACCAAGTTGAAAACAAAACGGCTGATGTAGATGTACTCAATTCGTTGATCCTAATGTGTATTTATTGTAGTCTTAAGCTTTACAGTGTAGACTGTGATTGTTAGTATTTGCCAAACCGCACTTTGTAGTTTGCATGGTAGAGGTAAGTTGACATGGCAGCCTGTAAGGGAAAATAAATCTTTGCGTAACCTAATTAGTGAAGGTTAACTCATGTGTTTATGAATTACGTGTCATAACAAGTAATATTAATGAAGAAGTCTGATTATCGGTTATTTCAGTACTTTAAAAATAACTAATATCATTTTAATTAATTGGAAGGAGAGGCTACAATAGACTGCTTGGTTTTCATACTGCTAATTGTAGCATAGACCAGAAAGGAACGGGTTGAGGTGGATAAATCACTAGAAAGTATTGCCTAAACATCAGTTTAGCCTATGGCTAAGCTATGATAAATGCTGTTTACTTGAATTTTTTTGTAAACATCTTATTGTTCTAAATCATGTGATGTTATTACTGGCTCCTCAGATCAGAAAGTTTGAAGACCACATGAAAAGGTGGTCTTAACTTTCAGCTGGAGGCCTTTCTGGGTGGTAATGTGATGATCATAGATTATTTTTGAGCATTATGAAATAGATAATGAAGGACCCAAGGATGAAATACAAAATTCAAAGTAAGGTGGTCTGTGTTCTCTTGCTATTTGTGATCTTAGAAGTCAAGTGACTGCCTTGTGATCTCAAGCTGTAAAGGGAGTGCAGTGCTTCCCAGAGTGAATTTAGCAGCTTCTAAAATGAAATATTGTAGCAATAATAAACAGAATGGCATTGAATGCTGAATATTAACATACTGTATATAATGCTGTTTAGGTGCAGCATGCCATGGAGATCTTGCAGAGAAGCTGAAGCTACTGTATAAAATGCATGTTTTGCCTGGTAAGTAAATGATGTTAAAATAGCTGTTGTCTTGTTGAAAGCAGAAAATTGGTTTATGACTAGCTTTCCCAATTAAAAATTAATTTGTGGGAATTATTGTAGCTGTTTATGCAGCAGTAAAGTAAGAGAGCTTCTACCACAACCAGGCATGGATTTGGTATGTCTGAAAGCATCCCTGTAGCCCTCTAGTGCTCCAGCCACAGACAGGCTATTTATATGTGTCTCTTGCCTGTTTAGCTGGGGTTGGTGACTTCCCGCACGCATAACAAATACAGTGTTCTTCAGCATTTGTTACCATAAGACATTTTATTTAACAATGAAGCTAGCTTAAAATGTTCCTGCATGTCCTGGCTACTCATTTCTGTCCCTAGGCTTTCTTCTTACTTTCCCCTCTGGGCTGATAGAATCATAGAATCGTTTAGGTTGGAGGAGATGTTCAAGATCACCAGGTGATACAACTGCTTGCAGAGGAAAGCTGCAGATCGTTTCATAGATGTGTTTTCCAGGGAGCTGTACAAACTGTTGGACTCAGCTAAGCGAGAAGGGCAGTTTAGGGTGGAGAAGGGATGAAAACATCTCAAAAGTTTTGCCCCTGAAGGAAGTGATGTCTTGGAATTATATCCTCTTTGGCTTGTCACATGTGTGCCATAAAGAACCTATTGCTGTCCTCACTGAAATCTGCAATTTTAGTATGTTGCAACTGCTCGGGTACTTTAATTCTTGTGCACATTTACATCCTCTGGTAAAGATCTCTAAAAGCTTTGAGAGGACATTCACCTTCATGTGCTTTGAACATGTGTCCCTGATTGCTCCCAGCTGGCTTTGCTGGAGGTAGGCTGGAGTGATTCACTAATTTCACTGAAAAAAAAATGCAATTTCATTGAGCTCTAACAGAAAAGATCCTTTTTAAGAATGCAGCTTCTGGTATCTGGGGACTGGTAAGCTCATACCAAATTATGACAGACTGTTTCCATCTAGGAAAGGGTTCGTACCCTGCTCAGGACACGCTGAGCTGCACAGAAGAAAGTAATGGAAGTAGATATGGGAAGATGGGTGAGCCAGCCTCTGAAGGCAGACAGCTACTTGTTAGTCAGACAGTATTGGATAGCAGGGGGGAGACAGTACCGGTCCAATTGTTCTTCTCCTGTGAGCTGAAAAGAGAGAATTCCTAACCCATCACGTCCTCACAGTTTTACTTCTAGAAGCTGACATTCTAAATGTATCGATGGCAATATTTTCTAGTTTTTAATTAAAGGGTGGCATTTTTAATGAAAGAATTTTATTATCTTGCTTAGATCCATCTCCTGAGCAAGAAGAACCAGACTCTGCTTTTGAAGCTACTCAGTACTTTTTTGAAGACATCACACCAGAATGTACACATGGTAGGCAACTTCTGTCTCGGGCATGAAAAGATTAAGTAATGCATTTCAAACAAGATGTCTTTTTAGGAAGCTACTTTTTTATTGGATTAAATTTTGTAAGTAAAGTATTCTTGTAAAAAGAAGTATGTAGTCTTTGTATATGTTTTGATGTCCTTAGAGGTGCAGGCGTGTGTACCTAAGAACTCCCTGGATTGTGCATTGCAGAAGTACTCCCCAGAATAATGTCATCAGTGTGTTGCAACAAAAGTAATTTTGTGATAAGTCCAGCATATATGCCTTGATGGAGAATGAGAATAAATATATTGGCTTTCAAGATATATTTGGATCAGAACTTAACATATTCTAAAAAATTGAAGCCAAAAGATATATCAAAATGTAGTTCAGTAGTTTGAAATCTATTTGTGCTCTAATGAGACCCTGGGGCTCTTTGCTGTTGTCTTAAATGGCATTTTCTTTCTTGAGATATTTAAGTAAGTTAAGTTTCTCTCTGATTCAAGAAAAATATTGTCCAACTTTCAGGTTACAGGGGTAGGGAAGGTTGTTTGATAATACAGATAATAGACTAGAGATAGAAATTTTAAGTCCTGATAGACAAAAGGACAGGCACTAATATAATCACCAAACATATATCATGCTAGAAGCTGTTTGTGTTGTGGTAGCACAGGCTAATCATTGTTCTACACAAACAAAACCTAAGATGGCCCCTGTCTGAGTATTTATATTATTAAATATATGGAATTTGTCAGCAGATTTAAGAATAAGCAAAAATCATCATTTAGTCCTATCCATTTTACTCTGCATTTTCTGCAGTGTAAACATTTTCTTTGTTTTGCACTGTACACATGAAAAGTATGTATGTATCTAAAACCAGACTGATCTCTCTCTCCCCCCACCCCTCTACTTCCTAGTTGTTGGCCTGGACAGCAGGAACAAACAAGGAGTGGATGATGGGTTTGTTACAGTGAGTCTGAAAACCGACAAAGGTATGCATGGTGTCTCCATTTGAATTCCATCTTTTATTTCTTGTAAAGATGCTCCTTTTGAAATTCAGAAAAAAAAAAAAAAAGTTTTAATTTAAGATTTCTTCATGGTCTTTTCCTGCATCTCTGGGTAATTTGTTGACAATAGGCAAGAAGAACTCACAAGAGAATCGAAATTATCTGAGAATGTGGAGCCAAGAGAACAAATCCAAAGCAAAAAACACAAAGGACTTGCCCAAACTGAATCAGGTACTTCTGCTGACACTTACTTATTTTTCATTAACTTTAAACTTTCTTCACATACCTATAAATATTCAATATATTAACACTGAATAAAGGTTTTATTTGAGGCAGATACTTTTTTACCAGAACAGTGGTCAGCTGATTACAGAAGTTAATTGTTTTCGACATACTGTAACTGGCATTCAGCTCCCAAAACATCCTAAAAATGAGATACACACATATAGGAATGACAACATATTATTTTGATCTGTAGACAAAGGGTGGTATGAAACTGAATCTCACCAGCTAGCTCATAATATCCAATACACATTACCTGAAAGAAGCATTTCATGTTTTGTAATTTATACTGTCAGTCTCATTCCACTTAGATCCATATCAGCTAAGGAGGAAACCTGTTGGGACAGCTGGTTCCTCCAGAGCGTATAGGGAAGGTATATTCACTGTAGAACAATACTGCTTATGTAAGGTATCCTGAAGCAAATCTCCTTCCTATTTAATTCATGACTTTTGAATTCCAAAAGGCTCAGATCCAACTAAGTTACTGCTGTCAATTAAGAGTGCTGCAGGTCTCTTTCATTTTTCATTACTTCTCATTAGTTTTATCAAACTCCTAGTTATATGTAACATCATTCCTACAAGAAGATCCACCATAATGAATGCTAAGTGTCTCTGTTGCCCTCCTGTGGATGCAAAGAAATAAATTTGTAAAACGTTGGAAGAAACATCCAACAGTTTATTCTGAACAGCTTTGAGAAAGGCAACACATCTGGCTGCCTAGTCATAAAAAATGCTTTCTAGACTGCACTTAGATTATTTCCAGTTTCAATTTAATCACATAAACTGCGGTGTCATACCTCCATTCCAGACTTTAGACTTTTAAACTCGGTAGATCTCAGTCTGATTTGTTTCCTGCTCTCTCATTCATGTTTCTTCCCTCTGTGTTTAGGGACAGTTCATTGAACTGTGCAAGACAATGTACAATATGTTCAGTGAAGACCCCAATGAACAAGATCTGTACCACGCTACCGCTGCTGTGACAAGCTTGCTTTTGGAGATAGGTGAAGTTGGTAAGCTCTTTGGTGTGCAGCCCACAAAAGAGACAGACAGCAGCAGTAACAATTGCAGCAAAACTATTCCGAGTGAGCTGTTTCAGAAGAAGGAGCACCAGCAGTACCCCCTGGAACAGCCCAAGCCCTTCCAAAGCAGCCTTGCCACCAGCGATGAGGAGGCTGTTTGCACTGACAGCACCCTGGGCATGCAGATGGAAGATATTAAGCTCGAAGACTCTTCTCCCAGGGACAATGGAGCCTGTTCTTCCATGCTCATTTCTGATGATGATACAAAAGATGATAGTTCAATGTCCTCCTACTCAGTACTGAGTGCAGGTTCGCATGAAGAAGAAAAGCTGCACTGTGAGGACATCAGTGAAGACACCGTTTTGGTACGGAGCAACCACACCACTTCTCTCCGTAGAAGCACGAGCATTGACAGAGACTGGGCCATTACCTTTGAACAATTTTTAGCCTCCCTTTTGACTGAGCCGGCACTGGTTAGGTACTTTGACAAGCCTGTGTCCATGATGGCTAGGATTACTAATGCTAAAAACATAAGGATGATGGGTAAACCAATAACCTCAGCCAGTGACTATGAAATCTCTACTATGTCAGGATAAAAGGCAGTCGGGTTTTCTATTTATTTTTTTTATTCTGTATTTATTAGTACCCGGCAAAGGCCCTGGTATTTTCAAAACATGGTTGTTTTCACTAATTGAAAATGTTGGGGAGCAGACTTAACTATCTTGAAGTATAATCACTCTTTCTGTGGGAAATATTACACAAATTTTATTCAAAATACAGAAAAAAATAACAGTTGTCAGTGAAGTCTATGAAGTGTGTGTATTATTAACCTTGCTGTAAATGTAAAATGGTAAAGATTAGTTCTTAATTTCTAAATGTAAACTTAATGCCGATATTTATGTGCATTTTTAAAATAGACATATATAGAGATCTGATTCTTGGGAAAAAATGAACCAAATAGGCAGAACCTAGATTTTAAAGGGACACTGTCCACCTGAAGAGGACCTCAGGTGAAATTAAGTTCCAGGCAACATCCCTGAAGGATAATTTATTTCATATAAATTTTTTTTTTAGAGGATAAGGGGTTTTAACATCTGCTTCAATTTTATTTTTTTGCATATATGAAAGATCACTTCAGTGACACCTGTCTGGCTCCTAACTTCCTCTGCTTGAGACTGGTACGCTCAAATAAAAGCGAGAAGTCCATCCCAAGCCTAGCTGGCACATCAGGCAAATGTGGCTAAATGTGATGATTTCTGCTCCGACAGAAGGCAGAGTCCCTTTGCCTTTCCCTGGGTTCAGCGGCCGCTGGCTGCACCAAACCCAGCAGAGAGAAAACCCTTTCCCAGCTGCAGCCTCCAAGGGAAGATCTCCAGCATGACCCTGCCTAGAGCTGTGTTCCTGACCAGTGGACTTGGCAGCTTTGCTGGTGTGCTCCAGAGACAGTGTATGCAGGTCCCAGGACAAACAGGTAGAGTCTCTTTTTAAAAATTGAAAGCGTTTTTTAAAAGTTATAAAAAAAAAAAAAATATATATATATATACACACTTTTAAGGCTGGATCTACAGCATATATAGCTTAGCTCTTAAAACTAACCTTTACCACCAACCTATTATATCCTTGATAGATTAAGAAAATGAAAACCTGTATTGCATAAGTCTTCATTTACAACAGTGTAAAGTAGCAGTAATGAAAAAATCTGCAAGATAACGTAACTGAATGTTTAAGTCTTACTGAGAACACTGTCACTTTATATAAAATGAATAGTATCCTGTATCAACTTACTGAATAATACGTTAAAATGAAAACTGGAGCACCTGCACTTTGAATCCTTGCTTCTTTTATACAGATATTCAGGATTTTTTTTTTAGATTTTGTTAGCTGTTTTATAATTCATATTTGTTCAGTTCAGGATCATGCCTACATGCCTAATCTTTATTTGCTGTTTTGAGAATATTTTCTCTAGAATACTGTTGATTTTTTTATACTCCTGTATATTGCATCAATGAAACTTGCAGATTTTTTAGCAGACGCTATGTTTCATTCTTTTGTTTTAAAAGAATGCTTTTAAACTGTCAGATGAAGTGGTTTTTAACCACAAATAGGTAATGTGATCAAATAAAGTACACTCTGCACAGATTTGATTTTTAACTATTAAAGTCATGCTAGAGGTAAAAGTAAGTGGTTGTGTTTTATTACACAGACAAATGATTTTAGATCTTCAACACCAGGTTTCAGAACAGAAACATTTGTTGTTTCCATGCCTGGTTTTGTTTAATCCTTGAATGTCTTTACTTCCATCTGCAACAAGCAACCCATGCAAGCTTCTCTCACACCACCTAATTTCATTAAACAGTTTTCCCTGCTATGCTCACATTTGGTGACAACAGTTGTTCCTACTTTTTAAGTCCCCCAGATATTGTATGACCCACCTATGCTTTGCTATAGCTCACTAGGCACGCTTTCAAGGCTTTAAATATACTGGTACTGGTAAGCTGAGATGTCAGCCTCAGATCCATGGCAGTGACAGAACAGACAAGGATGTGCTCTATTCAGTGAATTGTATTTTTGAAGCTTACCATCTATTTGTGCGTATATAAAGTTAATTTGCAAAAGAGCTGTTAATTTCTGAGCACTGCTCATATAGCCCTTGTCTCAGTCAGATTACTGATTTTTTTTTTTCTTGGGAGTAGATCTCTCTCCCTTATAATTTATCCATACGTAGACTACATGTAACAATATGAAAAAGCAATGAGGCTGTGTGGACTGGTTGACATGTGTATCACATAATGATATTCATTTGAAGCTGTAATCACCATTCTGAAGAATATGACTCTGTTTTAACTTAAGATGCCAAGGCCAGAGCAGAGTGCTTTATTGCAATGCCTGTTAGCTGAATTAAGTTATCACAGAAGTCTTCAGCACTAAGGGTTAACATCCTTACACAGACTGTTGACCTTTTTAAGTTTGCACATCCCTAAAATATTTCTCCTTTAAGTTTCTGTCATGGTAAAGCAAATTTAAGCCTATCAGCAATCTTCCACATGCCCCTGGATGCACAGACCACAGATGAAAAATGTGTCTTTATCTTAAAAGGGCTTGCTAGCTTTGCTCCACACCCTACCCACAGGCTGGGGGTACAACATATCATGAAAATTATTTTGCTGTTGCAACTCCTGTAACAAGAAGAGGCATCCACAAGTGGATCTCTGGTGAACAGAAGCCGTTTTACAAGACAACTTGCTCCAGTCGCCTTCCTTACCTTCCTGAGCACATCAACAAAGTTCCTAAATGTAAGGCAGCTCATCTTTAAGAATGGCTTTGCTATAGGTAGCAGCCAGGTGAGCTGTTTTTCTCCAGATTTTTCGAGGTGGGGCTGCTCACCTGATGAGGGCCACACCAAATGGCCACCTGGCAGTTGGCCATTTGATGACAAGATCTGCTGTGACCTGCTCCTTTTGTAGCTGGGTGGGAGTTGATGAGAGGAAAGCTACAGAAGAGTTCACCTGACCAGCATGCAGAGATGTGAAACCTTCGAGAAAATGTGAGTGAATATTTTTGAAATACAGCTACATAGAGGAAGATTTGTTTCCTCTTTAGGGCTGAACCCTGTGACTGGACACTGACACGTGCTGCTCTTCTAGCTTGGTAGGAGCCTGGTGGCAACAGGGTGCTGCTTGTCTGCCTGCCACGAGACAGACAGCAGGTGAGGGACGAGTGGGAGGTTATTTTATAGAGCCTGCTTTATTTACAAAAAAAAAAGAGCCATCAAGAAACATCCTTCTCAAGTTTTCTTCCAATCTGTCTCTTCCAATTTGCTCAGATACTGATGGTGTGTGAAAGCTCAATGGTACTTGCTTCCTTTCTTGTAGCATCTTACAGCTCCTGAATTCTAGGCGTTAGAGCTGAGAGTTGTGTTTGAGGCTTGTAAAGCTTTCTCTTCCACAAGTTTTGGGCAAGCCAACAGAAAGTTTGTTATGTGTTAAATCTACTGAAAATTTGACATCAAAACTGCTGTAAAGAGAAAAGCACCTCAGGGGTTCTTACACAGTGATACTGGAGCTTCTCTTACAGTAGATGTCATATGTCGGGTGTTGTGCCATAAGTTAAGATGGCAGAGGCTGGTGTGGTGTATGTGGTGTGATGTGTAAGGGTGCTGTGGGAGAGAAAGGGAATCTCCTTAAAGCTGTCGGTCAAGCAAAGAGACGGCGCTTTTGCTTGGACAGCTGTGCAGCTGGGTCTGGTTCCTCAGCTGGGTGCTCTCAAAGTTTCCGGATCCCTCCTGGCACAGGGTCTTCATCACTGATCTTTAATTTTGCGGCAGCATTTTGAAACTGGTAAGTGGGTCTCTCAACAGCGGGTGCGATACAGAAACCAACAAGAAACTGTTGGGAAGAGTCTGAATTCCATTGTGATGCTCAGAGCAAAAAAACGAAGCTGGTGCATAAGCAGTGTGAGCCTACGGCCTTCCGACATGGAGGAGCAACGGGTCAGCGCAGGGACCTGTGGCTGTGCCAGTGCATGACGGGTGGGAGCACGGCTCGCTGAGTCCCCACCAGGCTGGGCTGTGCGCGTGCTGGCGAGTTCCAGCGCTGTTGCTCTCCAAACTTCTGGCGTCCCCGTGAATGACTGAACTGTAACCTCTTTTCTGCTCCAGTTCTTGATAATTCGGTAATAACAAGGTACGCTGTAGCTAGAAGATGCCTTTTCAGGAGAAATGAAATATTAACTGTAAAAAATGCTTGATGCTGTTGTATCTATTTTTTGTAAGAAAAATTGACTAGTTGGGCTTAGACTAAAACATCTGAAAAAAATGAGGAAAGCCTGAGGAATAGCGTGCGGGTTGGTGGGTGAGCTCAGCCTGTGGTGGAATGTGCCTGAGGACCCCGGCCTTTCGCTTAGCTAGAGCACGAGGCTCCAGCGTCTTCCTTCAGACCCCGGCATCAACCCCCGCTGCTGTGGGAGGAGGCTGGTCCACGAGGAGAGCTCACCAGTTCAGATGTGCACCGAGGTGTAGCGTTGCTCCAAGAATGAAAGCAAAGCAGTTGCGTCTATTACTGAGCCTTATCCTGTAGTTGGAAGAAAACATTTTGTTTATGCTATTTCTGTTTCTTTCCACTAGAAGATAGTCTTGAGTCAAACATTACGCACTGCAAGCAGCAGCTGTGACTTTTAATGCTCGTGTAAAATGCTGGTTTATTCAATAGTGAAAATATGAATTAGCCCAACAGCAAATAATTAGAACAAAACTGTGGCAGTGAGCATTACATTGGAATATGGCCAATAACAGAAATGTGTGACACACGCTGGTATGGGCAGCATCACTGCGTAAGTGTGTCAGGGCTGGGAATACAAGGGGTGAAATACTGGAATTTAGTGGTAACGGCAGTGCAAGGTGCTCCCAAGAAATGGTGGCAAGTAATGTCTCCAAGTACATCACATCGGAAGGCAATTTAACTCTGGTTCTTCTCTTTTCTGCGGTACTCGATGCCTCAATTTAAATTTCCTGAATAGCTGCTTCCTCATCCCATTTTCTAAAAAAACCCTGGTATTTGCATAACTGACCAGTTTGACATTTGGGCTGTGGAGAAGTGAG